TTTATACATTACTAACAATCTACATTTTTAGTGGAAGAATCTAATTCCGAATCAGGTAAGATATTTCATAACATTAAACATTTCATTTAATATATTATATAGACATGATGCATTTAAATAAATATAATTTCTTTCAAATCCATTAAACCTGTTTATTTCCTTCCTCATTTGTTTTATTTTATTCCCGATTTTTTATATACATATAAAAATAATTAAAATTTGTTAATTATTGCTGCTGTTGCAGCTGTTTTTCAAATATATATTTATTGCATTTTTGCAAGAGATTATTTCAAACAAATACCCCCCTGTACTCCACACTCGCTCAGCTCAAGCACAATCAATGGACTTTAATGAACAAGTTTTGGAGATGTGTGTAAATATGTGTGTAGAACAAACTCAACGAAGAAATGGAGAAAAAAAAATAAAACCGAATATCGAATAAACAAATGAAACAAAATGACAACATGTGTTTGTGGCACGTTTTACAAATTCTGTACGGCCATTTTTGTATTTTTTCTTCAGTTTTTTTTATCATTTCGTATAAAATCTGTTCAGGTTGGTTTATCTATATATTGTTAGTTTTGTGTTTTTCATACGATCGTGTCGTAAAGCTCGTGCAATGTGTGTTTTTGCTTTGTTTCCTTATTTTACTCACATGAGATGTGATACGAATGTTTATTCCTTCGTGGGATCTTTTTATTTCGTAGAATATAAAACCAAACCATTTTTTGAGATGAGCGTCAAGGTAAATATATTTACACTAAATGTTAATCTACCAGAACAGAAGCTACATGAAGGGAGATCGAGGTTAGTATTATTCAGCATGAAGATGAAGTAAATTCTGTACAACAAACTAATGTACATTCGTATCTGAGGTCACCCGTACCGCGTTATATACTCAAAACTTCCCAAAATCATACTTTAGCGTAAATGGTAAAAAAAAATGCAGTCTCATTTGTTCTCTTTTCTTCATTAATTTTTGGTGATGAATTCTCAGCTCATCCACATTTATTCTCACTTAGTTATGCCCACCACTGTACTAAGTCTTGAACCAAAATTAAGCAATTTTGTGTATGCTTTACATTTATAACTGTTCCGAAGTTTCAAATTACAAGCAAGGCTCTAATTATATGTATGTCTAAAACATTCTCAAATCATTCCTCTGTCTTTACAACTTCCCCTCTTTAATATACAAAAGTATCGTTCAAAATTTTGTGGTTATGTCAATAAAACAACGTCATCATATATAACATCATTTCATCATTATGTCAATCATAAGTTTTATTTTACGGCATAACATCACAAAACAGCATGAAACGTGAGGGACACGACAAATACACAAAAACACACACGGAGATACTTGCACAAATAGTATACATCAATATTTACAAATTTATTTCAACTACCACAGTTGAAATCGATCAATATCCATAAATATCAATCATGTCTGTCAAATACATTCGTACAATATTTAATTAAAATTCTCAATCGTACAAAAAAACACACACACACACACAATCAATAAATGGATAGGTAATTGATTTTAAGTTTACAAATGTATTTCCGAAAACATATGCGGATAAGAAATAATGGAAAAACTTGAATTATTAAAAATGCAATTTTACAAAATTACTATTTTATTTATGAACACGATAATAATCTTTAGATCTGAGATAAGAGGACTATGGGTGTACATTTAGAGAATGACTATGTTCAAAATAGTTTTTGAAAATTTCCATAAAATTGAATAGTGAAAAAAACTTCAATACTACTACTTTCTTCATTAAATAACAAAAACTAAGCTCAAACAACAATTAGGTTAAAACGTGTTGGTATTCAACACACGACGCAAATTATGCTAGTTGGCACCCCCAGTTGTAAAAACAAATTTCTTCGTTGGCCTATCCTGGCAAAGCATAAAAGAAATCATGTCAAATACAGACGATAGAAGAATATATTGAAAATACGATGTTGTTTGCAGTCATTGTGAATGTATTTCGAAGTGGTTAAGTGTACAAAAACATATGTATGTAAATTGTTCGCATATGTTTTGCATCAAGCCAGCGTCCACAGAGACCATTAAAATGATAAAACACTTTTTCAAATGACGAAAAACAACAATAACAGCACTTTAATGTGGGGATATGGATATCTAAAACAGATTATAAACGACCACAATATCCGTTTCAATAATTGACACAATATAATTTATAATTATAACATTACTATTAAGTAATTAATTTAATGATAAGTATAAATTTGCAATTGATTTGTAACAAATAAAAGGAAAATGGGGAAATTACTTTTTATGGTTTTATACATGAATCTTTTGTAAGCAACTCTGCTGAGTTCTTATAAGTGAAGTGAGTTGCTTAAAAAAGTTGCATGTATAAACCCAGACATTGTAAATTTGTAATAGGTAATTATAAAGATTGATATTTATATTCCGATAAAAGCTTACATTTTGTAACTGGAAAAGTTTTTCAATACAAGCTGCTTCAAACAAACGCAAAAAAGGAAAAATCGATGAATTTAAGATGCAGTTTCTTGCAATTTATCTTAAAGTCAGGGAGAATAAGATTACATCGAATAGTTGCAATGGATATTGTTGAATACACTAAATGTATCTAATATTATAACAATTTGCACAAACTTTATAATTAAGAGCTTGGGGCAATGATCAAAGGTTATGCAATGTCTACTTATTACTCTTGTTCCATCCTCACCTATAGTTGTTTTAGCAGACCTACTGTTTGTGGTCTTGCCTGTTCGCCTGTACTGAAAACCCCTGATTGGAGATCTTCATCGACCTCAATCATCAGATACAGCTCACAAATTTGCACGTAAACTTTTAACAATGTATTCCACCAGACAGAAGTATAGTTATTATGCACGTTGCAGTTCGTCTCCAGAATGTTTAACAATTAATCATAATTCGGTTGAGGTTGCCCGTTGTTGAAACGTAAACCTCAAACTCTAAGTCTATTTAAACCAGCATTTGCTCAGATTCTGTTATGCGGCTGGTAACTTTCTGGTCGAATAGTCACATCTGTTAATGAAACTTACCCAAGTAAGTCGCGAAATCTATTAATCTGTTCTATGATTTGCGGAGGATTTTGACCATTTGTGTGGGAGATACCAGAAGGGGTGGACCAATTGGCCTCATCTTCGGACTTGATCTGGACTTGGTAAAGATAACAGGTTGTGAAAAGCTTGGTTTAAGTCGGACATTCCAATCACCTGATATTATATTTATAAATATTGAAAATTTTGAATGGTCCCATCTTAAAACATGATCTAGACTTGGTAAAGATAATATGTTGTACAAAGTTTGTCTCAAATCGGACATTCCATTAGCCTGATATTGGATTAATAAATTTTAAAAATTTTGACCCATTGTAGGGGAGATACAAGAAGAAGCGGATTAATGGGTCCCATCTTCAAATATGATCCAGGGTTAGTAAAGATAATAGGTTGTGCAACATTTGATTTAAATCGGACATTCCATTTGCCTGATATTGGATTCATAAATATTAAAAATGTTGACCCTCTGTGGGGGAGGTACCAGAATGAGTGGACCAATGGGTCCCATCTTCCTACTTGATCTAGACTTGGTAAAGATAATAGATTGTACAAAGTTTCGTTAAAATCGGATAGTCCGTTTGCATGTTATTATAAAATTATTTTTTAGCACAATTTTATTCCATTTTGCGGGGGATTTTCCCCAGCCAGACAAACTGAACAAACTGCCAAAATTCCCATTTTTTATTTAGTCAAACACTCATTTTTTTATGTAACAACTTAAATTGTATACAGTGTTAGAAGGAACTACATTATATACATACTATAAAGAATCCTATAGAATGCAGTACAAAGCCATACAATTGAATGCTTTACCAACACTTGGTATTTTTATTTTAATTTTGCTATAGATTGATCGACGACTATTAAAAAAAAACTTGTTAATAATGATAATATTAAATATGCGCATCGGAATGTTTTTTTTTTATCCGAAAACCCTTTGACAAACTAATCCACTCCCTCCGTATTGCAGTTGTTGTCATTTAGTAGGTATGCAAGAATTGCTCAAGTATTCAACGGTTTACCACAGGGCCTCAAGGCATTCTGTGGTTCCATTAAATGTTATAAGTAAGCTTTGCTTGAATATATTAATTTGCACGGATTTTGATGGATATTCCTTTCTAATGTTTGTTATGATATTGTTGTTGCATAGCTGATTTAATGTTATTATTTAAATTTCTTTTTTTAAGATTCCTTGTTATGATAAATTTATTGTTACGTTTAAGATTTTGGAGTAGTAGATGTATAGTGGTTTCTGGAACCGATCTTGACCTATTGGCTAGGTTCCTATTCGTAAAAATAAATGACAATTAAAATACCTATATTGAAAAAAATATTTACGTACTAACTAAACTTGGCATTTCTAAATCATCCTATAAAATAATAGTTCTACAATTCATAGAAAACATGTGAATATTGCTGATATTTTTGTTAAGCTCAATTCCATTTTTTCACCTGAATTAAGTGTTTAAAACACAAAAAATAACCCATTTGCAACTAAACATCAAATCAAACAAACTCCCTAACTCTCAACGAAAGAAAGTTGAATGTCATCAATTTCCGCTTTACGAGAGAATTGAGCAAAACTATGGAAATAAAAAAACAAAAAACGGAAACAATGAGTGATACATTTTAAATGAGGAATGCCGCAACACAAATTCATGTACACATATCGTCGTTCGCTGTCATGTGTACACATACGTCATTATTTCCGCAGTCGCTGTTCAAACAAATGTAACGCCGATAATGACGACAGGCAGCAGGTTGTTAGACTTTTTGTTTTATTTGTTTGTTTTATTTATTTAGTTTGATTATGAATTTCATTTCATTGTTGATATTGCGGTTTATTGTTTTGTTTTGATTCGATTTTTTTTTTTGAGTACACAGTGTACTAATATCGGTCACCATGTGAAACTTACCCTTTTTTCAGCACTATCACACGAATTAACAATAGACGAGGATGTTGTAGATGCTGCAGTGGAACCAGCAGCACCGCCCAAATGATCTTGAGTATCCATTTCGGTTAGACTTGTATCCAATTGTTCTTGTTTTATCGATGGTATTAATGGTAAAAAGTCATTTTTACTGAGATTTGATAATTCTTCCAACTCCATGATGGCAACAGTTTATTATTGTTGTGGTTGTTGTAAAAAAGGGGGAGGTGAAGTTTATCGTTGTAATTCCTTTATTAAAAGGGATAAATTCTTTAGTTTTTCTTTCGTTCTCATAGAAGTATTATCCAAATTCTATTCGATTGAGACATTTTGATAGCATACTTCTGTCAACGACAAATTATTTTCTTTTTTTATTTTATTTTTGTTTCTATTTCGATTTTATTTGATAAACAACACCACCAACACTTTTGTTTTCTTATTGGGTAAGGTTATTCTCCTTGTTTTGCTATTTTGTTTATTTGCTTTATTTCTTATTTTGTTGTTATGGTAATTCGCGGCATGATAACAAACACAGCCGGGTTCATACACAACGACAAGGCAAGGGTATGCTGTTCACAAGGGCCCATTAAAAACAAGACGTTGACGTCGTCGTCGCCGATGTTGTTGTCTGCTCCGTTATTGCTACATTGACTATTCTGATACGGCACATATTCATACAGACACACACATACACAATGCAAACTTTAGCACAGCGATGACACCGAACGCGTTTCGAATGCGAATTTGCGGCAGAAAACGTAATGAACGATACCCCAAAGTAAAGTAACGAAGTAATCAAACTTTCGCGACGTCGTATGTTGTACTGTACGTACAAACGTGGGTAAATTAGCACCCAAATGGCAGAAACAAAGCAAAGGCGTAAAAATATTTCTGTTTTTTCGTTTCTTGTTTATTTATTTATTTTTTTTTTTTTTTTGCAACGAAATCGAAAGAGCATAAATTCACACAAAGGAGTGTCATAGCACAATAAGAATAAAAATATCCTCGTTTTCGAATTCCACGATTTTGATTGGAAATTGATGTCGTTCCTTTTTTTTTGTTTGTCACTCACTACTCGCTCACTCACTTTTTTGCCCGTTTGTCTTATTGAGAATATTCACTGCAATTCAATGGCATTTTCACTATTTAGAGGTTTCTTTCTTATGGCTCTTAAATAATATAACCTTTTTGTTGCTTTCAATTACACACACCACCATCTCTCTCTTTAGCACACATACACACCAAAAAAGTGAAAATTTTTTCCATTTTTCATTGGGATTTCGCCAATTGAATGTTGATTTCTAGAAACTTGCACTAATCGCAACTGTATGAAATTGCTTGCATTCACTGCACTCGAACTTGTTGGGTTTTTTATTCTTTATCAACCAGCGATAGGTTTTATAAAATTTTGTTTAAAAATTGTACAATTTTTAAACTTTTTTACTCGCTTTCCTCGCGTCTCTTATGAAGTGTTTGCTGTTTTTCTGTACAGATATTTGACATTTTTTCAGTGGTTGTTTTCTACATTGGTTAGAAAGAGAACACAATATTGTAAATAGAATCTTTCCTAGTTTAACCAGGGTTGTAACACACCTTGCCACCGAAATAAATTACGTTAGTCAACTAGAAAATGCAACTCTGTTCAAGCATTTCAATTTATTGTACAATAATCTTATAAGATTTTTTATGTCATGCACACCCGTGAAATAAATGACGATTTGCACAAAACACGTCCGGAGTCGTGGGTAGCAGAACAAATATTTTATTTTATTTATTGTTACAGGATGAGTATTCCATTGATTGAAATTGGACGTACATGTTTTGTCGGCTGATGCAGTATACGACGTCATTCAAATATGCCCAAGGGTATTCAAGTAATGATATTTAAATATTGACGCGTACCTGTATCTGCCAACGGGTAAACATATCCTCTGGATATGGATAAAAATAAGAACTTCAGTTTCTCTAAATTGATCAAAACATTGCAAATTTTAGTGAAAATTTTAGTATCTATTATATGAATGATTAATTTTATTATTTAATAATAACATAAAAATATTTGCATTATCATAAAATAAATAAAAATGTAAACAATTTAAAGGCCTTACTTCTTTTTATTTTGGAAGAAGAGGTATTTTCCCCAATTTAAACCACGGTATAATAATTACAAGGTAGGGCACAGCTACCAACTGATTACAATTTTCCCTCAAGGTGGCTTGTTCAATCAAATCAAAATACATATTTTGTGTATGTGTGCGAATTGTTTTGAATACTATGTCAAATAAATTCAAAATAAATTGAAATATATTAAAGTTTAATTGAAATGAAAATGATGTTTTAAACACGTTCGTCTGGAAGTGATTACTTTGTTATGGATGAAACAAACATTTTATGGTATTCCCTACTGAATTTTGGAAAGAAATCATAATCTTTCATTAATTTTTCGCGTTTTTTGTTTTGTGTTGAAAAAATGTCAAATAAACACAAACACTTGTTGCGTCTATTTATTTTATTTTTGGCAGAAGAAGCCACACGTACATAGTTGCTTTTTTGTTATTCACCTCAAGCTGCCCTACCTTATATTATTGTACCATGATTTAAACCATTCCAATTGGCTTTAAATTTCTTAATTTTCACTTTGATATGTACAATGTCCGCTTTGACTTAAGCTTTAAGCAGCAACTTAAAATCGAATGCACCTGAGTTGCATTTTCAACCACCCACTAACACTAATTCCAATGATCGTAACGTAGCGCAACGTGCCTTTAGCTTTAATAAAACCTGAATGCAATGTCCAAAAGCTTTAAATTAAATATTCGCAATATACATAAAATAAATGTGAAAAAGAAACAAATCGTTATGTGGAAGTTTCTTGACAATAAATGTAGATAAATAAATACTAATAATAATATTATTTATATCGAATTTGATTTTACACATAAAACGCAAATGGACGAATGAACGGCATGGCAATTGAACTAATCACTCATATTGCCGGAATAGGAGGATAATAAGAGTCTAAACGCAACCATAGAGTCTAGAGTCAGCGACAGTCGTTTGCCGTGTGTTTATATTGGCAACGGGAAATCGCGACGGCTGACGTTCGCGTCTAGCAGCTTGACGCTAGAATATATTTTATTGATTTTTGCTCAGCGTCATACACAAATTTTCTCTCTTGCTCTCAATTGAGTTGCCATTTCAGCATTTCAATGGAAATTTATATCAAAACATATGGCAGTACTGTTAAAAAACAAATATTTTCAAAGATAATGGACGTTTTTTAACGAAATAATAAAAAACATTATTTATTAAATAATAATTTGAATTTGGTTTACACAACACATAATATTCTGTCAGAAAATTAAAACAAATAATTGTAAAGAAGGTGAAGGTAACAACCGGCAAAAAGAACAGCTGTTTAGTTGTTCCTCGGCTCGTTGGTTTCCATCTGGATTTCAAATTATGAATGTGAGCTTCCCTTAAAGAAGTAAAGAAGGTGAAGGTAACAAGGCTGCTGGCTAGACTGGACATAGACGCATCACACAGAGGGAAAGTTGATTATCCATTGTTCGATTATTTCATATTAAAGTCCACTTAACATATTAAGAACAACATGGAAACTTTGCTGGAGCAGCAAAGGCGCTACCATGAAGAACGTGAACGCTTGGTAAAACTCATGGTCGACGAGTATGCCAACAAGAAAGCCAATGAAAAAGACCGCATATATTCCGAACACCGGCTGAAGTATCTGCTGGACATGCATTATAACTCAACTTCCAAGCTTAGAGAACTCTATGAGGATAAGGACAATGAAAGGAAAACTGAAATTCAAGCCCTCTCCGGACCAAATGAATTCAATGAGTTCTACAATCGTCTAAAGCAAATTAAAGAATTTTACAACAAACATCCCAGCGAAGTCAGTATTCCATTATCTGTGGAATTTGAAGAAATGGTCAAGGCCTACAATAATCCAGACGAAATGTCTGCATTGGTCGAATTTACGGATGAGGAGGGAGGTGGTCGTTATTTGGATTTGAATGAATGCTACGAGATGTATATCAATTTGAGAGGAGTAGAGAAGGTGGACTATATAACATATTTGATGACATTCGATCACGTCTTCGATATTTCGAAGGAGAGAAAGAACAAAGAATATAAGAAATATTTGGAGGCCCTAAACGAGTATTTACACAATTTTATAATGCGGGTGCAGCCATTACACGATATCGAAGAAGATCTGGTCAAAGTTGAATTGGAATTCCAGAAACAATGGCTTCAGGGCACCTTCCCCGGTTGGGCGAGCAAAGAAACGGAATCGGCATTGGCAAATACGGGTGCTCACTTGGATCTTTCTGCATTTTCGAGTTGGGAAGAATTGGCCTCACTCGGACTGGATCGTCTGAAGTCAGCTCTCATGGCATTGGGACTGAAATGTGGTGGTACTCTGGAAGAAAGAGCACAACGTTTATTTTCCACAAAAGGCAAGAAAACATTAGACCCGTCGCTTATGGCCAAAAAACCTTCAAAGACGACAAGTGTACAATCCAGGGAAAATGAACGTCACAAGGAAATTGCACAGCTGGAAGCCTATCTTTATAAGTATGCTGAACTGGTGTCTGAACAAAGAAGTGCTACCAAGGAAAATGTCCAACGTAAACAGGCACGAACCGGTGGGGAAAGAAACGACAGTGATGTTGAGGCCAGCGACTCGGATCTGGATGATGATCCAGATGCCGATGATATTCCATATAATCCCAAAAACCTTCCATTGGGTTGGGATGGCAAACCCATTCCATATTGGTTGTATAAATTGCATGGTTTAAATATAAGTTATAATTGCGAAATTTGCGGCAATTACACATACAAGGGGCCCAAAGCATTTCAACGTCATTTTGCTGAGTGGCGACATGCACACGGAATGCGATGTCTGGGTATACCCAATACAGCACATTTTGCCAATGTAACACAGATTGAGGATGCCATTACACTGTGGGAAAAATTAAAATCACAAAAAACGGCAGAACGTTGGATAGCCGATCAGGAGGAGGAATTCGAAGACTCTCAGGGCAATGTGGTGAATCGTAAAACGTATGAAGATTTGAAGAGACAAGGTTTGCTTTAAGTATATGGTAATACATATGCCAGCCTAATAAAAAGAAATAAATAAATTTTTTAAAACACAAAAGGAATGGTTTATTTCAAGATATTTCTGCTGTTAACAGTAGACCTATTGTCCTTAAAGATGTAAGCGGTAACAATGAAATTTCCTGTTTAGAATTAGAACATTTCAAATCGCTGCGTAGCCATGGGAAATCCTAAAAAACAATGAAAGGAGATACTATTAATATAATGTTAAGGGTCATGCCTGTCAGAGGTCACAACCTGATAATGAGGATTATGTGAAAGTCGAACAAAGCCAACTTGATTGGTATAAATCAATACTTTAAATTTACAATCCGCTGGTAATTTCTCCAGTGTTTTGACTCTTTCGGCAAGAGAATATAAGCAAGCTCTAAGTTGTTCTTCCATATCCATTAGAAATTCATCCTCCACAGATATACGCTCGGTTAATGGCTTTATTTGGAATCTATATCTTTCATAGGTCTCAACATCATCTTTGTATAGCACTACTTCTACACCATCCAGTTCGCCGGTCTTTAAGAGTTCTCTTATTGTTCGCAATACCTTGTATAAATATGTGTTTAGTGGTGGATAAATTGATGCCAACACCGGTGTATTATATATCCGTCGTTTCTTAAAGATCTGTGATGGATATACATCTCGTGTATAAAGGATGTGATTAATGAAGACTTCTATTGCTTCAATAATAATGTCATTTAAATCTGAACGAGTTTCTGCAAATTAATTGAATATTTTTGGAATATATGTTAGTATACGTACCGTTATCCATTTTCTAGACAATCTATATATTGAAAAAAAGGAACTTAAATTGATTGCTAGTGGTTAAAACATTTTTCAATTTAGTACAGCATGCCAAGCATTGTTTATGAATCCTTTACATATCAAACGTTTTTCTTTATGTGGTCCTGACCACTCCATCCACTCAAATAATTATTGGGAATGTACAACTTGACAAATTCTGAGGTGGCAAGGCAACCAGTTCAGCTGCGAACCTTTTTCATTCAAAACAAAGTATCAAGACCTATTAATAAGGTCATTTAAAAAGATCAGCTGTTCTCAAATTTGATATTTGTGAATTGACATTACATAAAATAAACAATGCCGTTTTTTATCTTACATCAAGGAGTATAAAAGGATAATTACGCCAAACTTTTAAATGTCAACGCAAACCAACTTCAAGCGTTGCTATTTAAACTTATTATTGTAAATTGACTTTCGTTATAAAAACGTAAACAAACACTACATTTTTGACATTAGACTTAAGAGAAAACAGCTGACTTTCGCTAGATGGGTGACATTATTAATAGATCTTGGTTGATGTTATTACCCCTTTTGGAGACGTAATATGAAACGAGAAACGCGCTGAGTGTGGCTGGATCTTAACTGACAAGACACACATCGCCGTTAGAATATCGGTCGGCTTCATACTCTGTGTTTGTTTACTTCTGTTTTTTTGCAAGAACTTTCGGCTTTTTTCATTATTCATTAATTCTATTAATTAGAAATATACAGTGAGTGTAAAAAGTATTTTGCCTCAATAAAAATTTGAAAAAATTCCAATATATACGTCTGAAGCCAGCAAACTAAAGATGTAAAATGACTTATGTATGATGGAGTACATTTGTGGACATATTTAGATCGTATTTCTGCAAGAATCACAGCGAAAGACCTATTGGTCTCGAAGATATCGGCCGAAATATATAATAATCCAAAAATGTTTATCACAAAAAAGTATTTTGCTTTTTATTATTATTTTAGAAAAAATTGTTACATTGGACACGTTTGGTCTTTTTATAGTTACAATTGCGGTTAACCACATACTATAAGCGATTTGACCACGATTTCATTCAATCACGGCATTTTTTCGTGGGTATTTTCTCACATTTACATTCAATACATTCTCCATCAGTATTTCATTTAATATTTGGTATTTTCTCGTCCTAATCTTAAGATGAGAGTATTAAACATAGTCATTGGGGCTTCAAAACATCCCAAATATGTTTAGAATAATAAAGAAGAGGTTTTGCAAAATATAACGCGAGGACAGAACCTTAAAAACTATAAAAACCAAAATCCGACAAACAAATTATTTAAAAAAAAATCGCGAAACTCAAAATTTTTGACTTCGAAATTTTTATGGTCCAGTAATATTGATCTAGGAACCAATATATGCAATGTAAATACCAATAAGTGGGTCAGATTCAAAGATATGAACAGTTCTAAAGCAATAGTAATAAAACCAATACATGAAGTTGGGATAAAACATCATTATTCGTCAAATCCTATTGTCTTTTGAAAAACTCTGGTTGCTGGTGGCGAATACGCATTCTATATTTTATCTCCGATTAACACCATCAGTTGCGAATAAAATGCAGTAGGGAATAAACGGGTCGATGTATTCATTTTCGAAATAAGATGTATTTCTATTGCCAGAAAACCGTCCATATATTTGAATCTGACCTCCTTATTGCTATTTTTATCGTATATTTTGGTTCCTAGATCAGTAAAAATTAACTATAAAGTTTTCGAAGTTAGAAAAATGGGGTTTCGCGAAATTTTTTTAGATAATTTGTTTGTCGGATTTTGGTTTTAATAGTTTTTAAGGTCCTGTCCTCGCAATATATTTTGTAAATCCTCTTTTTTATTATTCTTAACATATTTGGAATGTTTTGAAGACGCGACGACTATATTTAATTCTCTGATTTTGAGATTAGGACGAGAAATTACCAGATATTAAATGAAATATTGCTGGAGAATGTATTGAACGTAAATATAAGAAAATACTCGCGAAAATATGCCGTGGTTTATTGAAATCGTTGCCAAATCACTTATAGTATGTCGTTACCCGCAATGGCAACTATAAAAAGACCAAACGTGTCCTATGTAACATTTTTTTCTAAAATAATAATAAAAAGCAAAATACTTTTTTGTGATAAACATTTTTGGGTTGTTATATATTTCAGCCGATATCTTCGAGACCAATAGGTCTTTCGCTGTGATTCTTGCAGAAATACGATCTAAATATGTCCACAAACGTACTCCATCATATATAATTCATTTTACATCTTTAGTTTGCTGGCTTTAGGCGTATATGTTTGTAAATGTTCATATTTTTATTGAGGCAAAATACTTATTACACTCACTGTATTTAATAAATAACATAATACTGCTTTTAATATTATTATTAAGTGGTAATTACTTAAACTTTTAAAAGAAAAAGCGGTTATTTTATAAACTTTGTTTACTTTTCCACACAAACGCTCCGGCAATTCACAATAACATTGTTGTGACCATCGAATTCCATTGAAACTTCGTTGAAGTCCATGGAATAACACCTAACACTTGGAGTACTGCAGTGCGAACGACATCACCACATGAAATAACTATGAATCTAGAACTACTTGAATCATTTGGCCAAAATTATCCCGAGGAATTTGATGGATCGCTGGATTGCATTTCACTGGCTGTGACATGTGTGTTCAACAAATATGGAACCTTGTTGGCGGTGGGATGCAACGATGGGCGCATTGTAGTTTGGGATTTCCTCACACGCGGCATTGCCAAAATAATATCCGCCCATGTTCATCCCGTTTGCAGTCTAAGTTGGACGAGGAATGGCCACAAACTACTGTCGGCATCTACAGATAATAATGTTTGTATTTGGGATGTATTGTCGGGAGAATGTGAACATAAATACCGCTTCCCCTCACCCATACTTAAGGTGCAATTCGATCCCCGCAATGATAAACGTTTTTTGGTGTGTCCAATGCGTTACGCAGCAGTATTGGTGAAAATTGGCGAATCACATAAATGCTTGCCCCTCGATTCGGACGGTGATTTGAATATCGTGGCCTCGTTTGATCGACGCGGAAAACATATTTATACCGGCAATGCCAAAGGCAAAATAATGGTATTAGATGTGGAGACCTTGGAAGTGGTGGCCAGTTTTCGCATTATCGTTGGTACATCAAGTGCAACAGCTGTCAAAAGCATAGAATTTGCCAGACGAGGTGATGGTTTCCTCATCAACACATCCGACCGAGTTATACGTGTCTATGATTCCAAAGAAGTCTTGGCTTTAGGAAAGGATGGCGAACCGGAACCAATCCAAAAACTCCAGGATTTGGTGAATAAAACAACGTGGAAGAAATGCTGTTTTTCCGGGGATGGCGAATACATATGTGCGGGTAGTGCTCGTCAACATGCTCTGTACATTTGGGAAAAATCTATTGGGAATTTGGTAAAAATCTTGCATGGTACCAAAGGTGAATTGCTGCTTGATGTTGTGTGGCATCCGGTGCGTCCCATAATTGCAAGCATAAGTTCAGGCTTGGTTTCAATATGGGCCCAGAATCAGGTGGAAAATTGGTCTGCCTTTGCACCGGATTTTAAGGAACTTGATGAGAATGTAGAATATGAAGAACGCGAATCCGAATTCGATATAACTGATGAAGACAAGTCGGTTGACTTAAATGCCGATGCAAAATGTGATGAAGAGATTGAAGTGGATGTGACAAAGACTGAACCGGTGGCAGCATTCTGTTCGTCCGATGAGGAGGGCGAAGATGAAAATGCCCTACAGTTTTTGCCAATGGCTCCAGAAGTTGAAGATCCTGAAGATGGATGGGCTGTGCAGGATGGTCTGGAAGGCGGTGGTAGCAACTCAAAAGATACAGAATCGTCAAACATGCATGATTATGGCGATGTTGTGGCTGCGAAAAAACGTAAAATGAATAGCTACGATATTTCATTGCCGGATGCCCCAGTTGAAGAAGTACATCCATTGGTATCGAGTAAAACAAACAAAGACAAACAAGTTGGGGGCAAAAAGGCTGCAGGACGACCTAAGAAATAGTTGTAAGTTGAAGAGAATGTATACAAATAGTTTTAATGGATAAATATAAAATGTACTTGATGATCCAACTCTGTCATTTTTCGTGTTCTATTTTCTCAATTTTGTGATTATATTTTTCTGAATACTTTAATTATATAAATAACTTAAGAATACTGTTTTTTTTAATTATATAAAAAATATATAACACAGAGTTTAATAGATATTTTTAATTCCCAAAAAGATTTGCCGCCATCGTACGTTTATCGTGACACGACAAATGGACAATTTCTCCATTTGGATAACGTACAAAAGCACTTTGGTTAGCGAAACGTTTCTTACATTCCGGGCATGTTGTAAACTCGTTAATTTCAAAACTTATATTCTGTTGTTCTCGCACCAAGTCGGTGCAACGTCGTATTTCAGCCTGCAGCAGACCTTTCTTCATTTCCATATGGTGTTCATGGGCTGCTTTAGTACGTATAACCGTGTCCAAATAATTTAGCATTCTGTGAACAGGCATTTCATCTGGTAAGAACTGAAATAGACACAAGTTAGATGGATTTTCATCAATGAAGTTTCAGATTTTAAACTTACCGGCCATATTTTGCTAGGATCAATTTTGGTAGCATATTTATTCAATAGCTTCACAGCAATATCTTCATTTGGTTTTTTAAAGTCTTCGTGTAATGCAGCACCTTCATATGGTGGTTCTTTCATTGGACTGAGTATTGTTTTTAGTAGCATAAAGAATATATCCGGCTCATCATCATAATTCCTTTCACAATATTTGGCAGCCTTGTCAACATTTCCCAAAATTTGTATGTAAATTGCCAAGACTTTTTCATGTTTCTTAAGGCGTTCCAAAATCAATGCCCTTTCTTCCAACATTATATTGGTTGGGAAATCTTTCAAAACAACATCCGGTGAATAGTTAGTTGAGTTCTCCAAGATATTGTATAATTTGCCACGATATTCTTTCAATTCATCTTCTAATTTTTTCGTGGCCAAATCTTCCTTCTCTAAATCCTTCATTAGATTTTGAACTTTTTCCCGATACTGTTTAATTAAAACATTGTGTAATAATGTATTATGGTCTTTCCAAACATTAATCACATGCTCCAAATAGGGTATAACCAACTTTTTATGGTGGCTTAGTAAAAAATCAAGCACTGTGGCCCGTGGTAGATTTTCCACTTCTATAAAATCATCTGTAAATATTCGTAAGCCTTTTTTGGGATCTGCTTTAAGAACCCAATCGGAAAACTCCAATATCAAGGGCATGTGAGATGAGCCTAATTGTTGTAGATAACGTATGGTTCTCTCATAGCCAAATAAATTGGAACCTTCCTTTGTGGCCTGTGATTTTAGTAATTCCAAAGCTTTCTTATGCTGTCCATTGGTTTGGTAAAGTATAATTAGTTCTGAGATTTTGTCATGCTTCAAGAGAGTCTTTTCCGATTCCTCTAAATGGCATTGATTTAAACGCAATAGAGGAGCTATTAAGGAATCATTGGTTTGTAAATAGCATTTTAGTAGTGTGGTATCAATAATCGACAGCAACGATTTTGAGGCATTTTTGGTATCACGAAGCTTGACTACCTCTTTCTGTCTGGCCAAGGCCAAGAATTCAATTAATGCCAGCAATGCATTCTCCAAATCCTTATCTTCCAATTGAGGCATATTGCTTACTTGCGGCACTGTAGCATCGTAACTATCACTGGACGCCTTATCTTGCAAAAGATTTGGAAAGAGACGTATAACATCATATGGATTTGCTTGGGCCTTTTCAAACTCATTCATGGCTGCTGAAAATTGTTTCAAGGCAAACAATTCTTTGGCGTAGCGCATGTGAATTTGACGTATAGTTTCAGCTTTGGCTAATTCTGGTTCATCGGATATGTTCTAAAAGAATGACATTGGAAATATAAAGAGAGTATTTCTAGGAAATAGGCAAGACTTACTGTCAATTCGATGGCCAATTGGAATTTCTTTTGTTGCAGTAATTGTTGCCTCTGTACGGATATATCCACCATGCGAATACACCATAATTCAGAAATCGCTGCAGCAAAAATGGTGCCACGAGCTGATCGCACTAAATGTTTGGTTTTGCTTAACTCGGGTATGGACTGTACCAGAGTATCCTTGTTAATACCATTTGCTTCTAAACAACGTATCTCAATGCCATTGGATACACGACCCACAACAAATGGTTCATCCCATACCAGAGCTAAAAGTGGACCTGACCACATTATGGGTTTCAAAGGATTTTTCCCATTATTCGTATTGGGGGAATCAATTGCAACTTGGGCTTTTGCTTTATCGTCTTTCCGTGCCAAATATACACTTGGATCTACGGTTACCAGATATTCATCTTTTGAAAACCCAATTATGTTTTTCAACAGACAAATGCAAGGATCCATATTGTGTGATGATGATGTTACAATTAAATCATGTTTCTCAGTTTTATTATATTTAATCTGAAATGTGCAAAACAAATTATATTATGGGCAATTATCTAAATTATGTTTATACTTACATTGAATATAACATATTCATCTTTGTAGCCAACACATATCAAATCATCCACCCAACACAATGCCTTTGGTACATCTTTCAGTTCAATGCTGAAATTGGGTGACTCCAAAACATATGGCTTCCAATAGAAAAATTGTAGACGTCTTTTAATGGCACAACAAATTCTAAGGACATTGACAGTTTTGCCTGTTGTAGATTTGGTTGTCTGCGGACAGTATACTCAAGTAGTTATTTTATTGGGAATTATGTGAAGACCCATCACCTACCTTGACATCCATCGTAAACAGACTACATCCTTTGGTAAGTTCCGAACTGTGAATAAAACTGAAATTTTTCTCCATGTGACTGATATCACAGACATGAATCATGGCATCGGTTAAAACAAACAGCAAACTCTCCGCCTCAATTACCTCCATTTGGACAATGGGCTTTTTGCTGAAATTCTTATTGAACATTAACATATCCACGGCTCCATTTTCATCCACTGAGTACATAATAAGTTGGCCACTGCGTGTTCCCAGGATAACATTGTTATCTGGTTAAAATCAAATATATGAGTTTGTACATGAGGTATATAAGTGGGTATTTCAAACGTAAAAAGAACTTACCATAGGCTGCTATTGACTCAATATGAACCCCTTGCTTTAGTATGGAATGTATTTCGTATGATTGATGCATTTTGAACCAGAAATATGTATTTTCCTTCTTCTTTGTTTTACGTTACTCCCCGAAAGCATACAATTTGCAAACCGAAATTTGAATTATATGTAAATTTTTATTTTTTACTACTGCACTTTTTTTGCATTTTTCCAATAAGAATAGCTGTCTTATCTGCTTTAGCAGCTGAATTATTATTGTAGCCCAGGCAGTATTAATAATGTAACCGCATCAGCTCAGCTGTTGGTACAAATAAATGTCAAAAATGTTGTTGTAATTTAAAGCAAAAAATTAAAAATCTTAATTATAAATGAAATTCTCCCAATTTTGGAGAGCTTGTTCAGCAATACATTTATTAACATTTACTTAATGAATTTGTGTAAAAATTCATATGAATCGGTGTTGTTTTTGTAAAATATTGTTGACATATCATTGTACTACAACCGTTGTTTGTTGTGGGAATGCGCATATGCGGTTACAAATCATATGTTTCCAGTGTTACCGTTGTCAATATTTCGGTCCAAATTTGACCCGATAATTAGGCATTTTGGTACATTCTCGCTACAATTCGCTTTGAGTCATTGCCATGTGTAGAGGTAACTTATACAAAAGCGCTAAGGATAGCGTTAAAATAGCAATTTTTATTTGCAGGATTTGTTGCTACAACGTAGCGAATTCTTTGATTTGAAAATTTATAATTGCTAACGCGCGATTTGTACTCTTTTCAATTAATAATATTTCAAATCAGCAGATTTGAAATATAGCAAAAAAAGTCAAACCTTTCACAAAATTATGTTGTATTTTTTTCTGGTTCCCTATATATAGAAAAGCTCAAATTGTATTATCGTATTTTTTATTTCAAATATAATGTGTATACAATTTTCCAACTGTTCTACATAAATCAGACATGTAATATCGAACTTGACACGAGTATTACAATATAATCAAATCAGCTGAGTATTGCAGTTACCTTGTATAATTATACCATGATCAGCTTGAGTTCTCTGTTTGCAGAAATGAGGACGAAATAACCAATTTATTAATATACTGATAATTTCAATATTATACCCTTCAAGAAAATATATAAATTTTAACTTGTAATTAAATTAAAAAAATATATAACAATCATTATTGTTATATCATATTGCCCAGTGTTTAGACCTTACGGCTGTAAATACATTTCACAATTAAATATAAATTTCATTAAAATATAAAAGGGAGGGATATTGGGCTACTAAAAAAATATTTTACCAATTTACACAGGCGATTAATATAACACTCGGCAACCCTATTATAATGAAAACAGCTGTTGCTGCATCTGCAATTTTCAACAGTGGTGGGAATTTTGGTTTGCCGAAAAGAGCATTCCTAATACAATGTTTTCCAAGTCATACAGTTTGTTTTATTGCTTCAGATATTCAGTCGTTCGTTATTAATCTTATCGTTTATTCTATATTTATATTTCAGTGGGTTATTTTCCCCCTATTGCTACAATATAAACCTTTGTGGCAATTAGTTCATTTGCCCTGCGGTTCAATTGTTCATCTGAGCTACGCAACACAAATTCTCAGTTTATTGTTTGTTTTTGTTTTGAGTTCAGTCAGTCAGTCAGGTCATCGAAAGAGAAGTTGGTGCTAGTGGGAAGATTTCGTAGACGTCTGTTATTTTTAATCTAATTAAATTATTTTGAAACATTGCCCAGAAAATAAGAATAAATGGGTTGTCCATAAAATGTGATACTGTCAGAAATAAAATGACATTAAATCGTGCACAGTAATGAGCCTCATTGTCATTGTTGTTGTTAAGTAATTTCATGTAAACGTACTTGTGGCTGATAAATCCAAGGGAGGGTGGATCAAAGAACTCCTACTTATCAGCATTTTTGTTACTGTTCTCAGCATTGATTTGTTGGTTCTAAATCATCGAAACCAGTGACGAGCTGACAAAGGAATCTAATTCAAAATGGACAATATGGAGAAACATTTTATGCTGCTATTGAGTCCAGAAGAGCGACAGTTTCTTAAGGTTTGTTTTTGATTGTTTCAACATTATTGAATAGATAACAACCTTGGGGTTTGGAGTAAATTATCGTAGATGGGTGTAAAAAAGTGCATAACACAATATCGGAGCCTTGCACTTGGCTTGATAAATTTTAAATACAGATTATTAAATAAATGTTTTCGAAACGTATTTTTTAATGTTTACTTTTTAATAACGAATTACAATTACATACATATATAAATATTCAAACAGTGTAAAAGGTGCAGGTAAAGAAAATGTCATTCCATGCTGCATTTCAATGACTCTGTGGTTAAAGTTTTAGTACATATTTATAAACGGTTTACCATGATTATCTGGTTAAATTTACATGTGTATATACATATGTCGTATTGTTGTTATCATGTAATGTAATATACAACTGTGTCATTCAATGTAACATTTAAATTGATTATTAAGCAAAATTTGTTTATATGGGCATATTTTTCTATTCACTTTGAAATGCAAACAGTTTGTCTCTATACATCTGATAATTATGTATTTTTAAAGTTATCTAATAATAGATTTGTTTTTTCATTTTCACTTACAGCAATATTTACAAAATCCCCAATTAAATAATAAAACCCTGCTGCAAAATAAACCTTTCCGCCTATTACAAGATAAACCATATCCGGTACTGAACATATTACTTTTACAGCCACCACATGTTTTGGTACACATAAAATGGGCCATAATTAAGACCTTTGAAGAAATGCTTCGAATTGTTGCAAAATCTGGTATTACATCCAACTTTTTAAAATTTCTTATTCGTCTACCCGATGATATACTTAATGAGGCACTACAGGGCGAATTAAGAGAAAAATTTAAGCATTGTCTTGACAACAAAAACAACTGCCACATGCAGGAGGAACTATATTTATCATTATTATGTCGCAAAGATCAACACTTGCTGTTCGACATTATGGAATATTTAAAAGAAACACAATGGCAATATTTTCAAAAACCTTTGGGTAGTAAAGAATTTATACTCTATCATGCATTGAAAACAAAAATTCATTTTATCTATCCAATGATCAAGGAGCTGAACGTGTTTAATGATATTACAGATGGAACATTAAGAAATAATTTAATTATTTTAAAACTGGTACATGAATTTTCCACAAATGTTTCACGCAGTCTAAATCAATTGCCTCATTTGGATGCCATATTAGAGTCGATGGATATGGAAAATGTGTCTGAAGAATTATTACCCGTTTATACACTCTTCTATAAAGATTTTAAACGTTTATCGATATTATTGCACTATGTGAGCACATTTCCAGAATCAATTACAGCCAACATAAACGTTGAAGAGATATTGGATTCCACAAACATTTTGGCCATAATGAATAAACACAAATTACTAAACTCGTACGAGGAAGCTAAGGACTTCTTGGAATCGTATTATACATGGCAACAAAATTTAGCATTGTTATCCCTAAAAGAAAACGAGACAGATACATTATGCTGTTATTATATTTTATCAACTGTCTGTGATATCATTACCACAACCACCATAGAAATGGATGAATACTATTCATCCAAACTACGAATCCTCAATTCTCTTTTACGCCAACTCAAAAACTTTGAATTGCTTTGTCAAGTCATGGAGGATATACTAAAATGCATCTATCTCAGATGGGAACATTTTCGCAGGGATGACAAACAAAGTAGGTTTCATAAAAAGTCATCCGGTTCCTCATACACTGATGATGACATTATCCAAGATTCATCCACGAAATCTTCTAAAGGAAATGATGCCAAGGCGAATTTGAAAAGTATGAAAACTGGTTTTATATGTCGCTCTAAATCATTTACAAGTCTATGCAATTTCTTGAAGTTATATATTACCAAAAAACTTCATTCGGCCGAATACAAACTGTCTGCACTGGAAATCAAATGTCGTTTTTCAAATGTACTGGACACAATAACGGATTTACTGTGGAAATATGAATTTTTCGAAAAAATGGAACGGTCACAAGATCAAAGTTTGGCCAATGACACCTACGTACAGTTTGAGGGAGATAATTTGATGCGACTTGTACATTTTCATGTGGACAATATGAATCGGATATCGAGTGATGATGAAGATATTAATTTGATCAATGAATATACATTGTCACGTCGTAAATCGATCAAAAAGAGACGTCGTGCAACATTTAGTGGTAACACGGTAGTTCCATCGGCGAAAGGATCTGGCGAAGATAAGACATTACTACAACATCGTTTACGTGCCAGTATTTTATCGAATTCTGTGAAAATATTGCCGACATTGGATGTAGCTGAGGAAAAGAGTGTAGTGCCAAAGCTGTTAAGTTCCTCCGAACGATTGGCAATTTTGGCATTGTCATTTCGTCAATTCCACGAAGCGAAACAAATTATTGAGGTATGAATGAATGTAATTTATTTAATTAGTAACTTAATATTCAAAATTAGTGATCAAATATTTATATTGTAGAATTTTCCAATATTGGAAAATTTTCGTGATAATAATAATTCACAATTTGAGGTTCTTCCCATATTATATCCCCATATGACACATGCATCCATGTTAAATACAACTGTAGTATCTGTAAAGGAGAAAATAATAATATTTTGTATAAGATAATATTTTGTAATATACATTTCTGTTTTTATAACGAAACAAGAAATATATCTATGTGATATACATACATTACGTATTAGACACAATTGTATTAACATTATTTTCTATAGGCCAAATAGATTTAAGTTAATTATTTTCTACTTTGGCTCTGTTAGTAAAAATATATATAAAAGAAATAATTGGTTGTAATTTAGGACAACCTTTTTATGTATTAAGCTACCAAGATTGGTGGAACCGCGAATTATTGGTATAGGGGCACGTTTCTTAGATTCAAAAATGTGTGTTTTTTTAGAAGAATCTTGTACAACAGTATCTACAACTTGTATTCATTTATTTCATTTCAGAATTTCAATTTACACGATACTCAATTAAATGCCGAATTACAACATATGGAACAACAAATTCAAGTTAAACAAAAACTAACAGCAATTTACGATAACTATCAGCAGCAGGAGAAGGAAACACGCAATACCATTGAGCCGATGCCAACTGTAGAGCTTATACGCAATGTTGCTGCAAAGGGTTTTGAAATATCTAAAATTATCAGTATTATTGATAATTTTGCACAAATGCAACGTATCAAACAGTCTGAAACGATTAAGGACCTAATAAAGAAACACAAACAAAATCCGCAATATCGATTTCTTTCACAATTCGAGGAGGGCAATTTAAATGCTGTCATTATTTGTGATTTGATATTGAGTATGCCATTTAATCGTGATATAACTACTAGCATTCTAATGGTTATTAAACGCCATCAAGCCATACAGTCACATTTTAATGAAATCGAAACAATGGTCGAAAAACTACAATTACCCTCCAATATTGGTCCATTGCATTTTCTGGAGAACATTGCCGATTGTATGCGAGTGCAAAGTGATAAAACCATAAAGGATCTTTTGTGTGACAACATATATTCCCTAAAACCTCAAAAACTGTCTAGGGAAATGGCAAAGGAGCAAATATTCCATGAAGTGTTCCACAAGAGGTCCAAGGATCTAGGTCGTTGCGAAGACTTAAAATCGCTAATGCCTCAATTTGCTGCCTTAAAATCGAAATATAATTATTATCAACGTTTCTGTAATTATGTGCAGCATCTTACAACGTTGGTACATCTACGTGATTCCAATTGTGAATATCACATTGAGCAATTGTTAAAAATAGATGTCTGTGATGTGATAGGTGAATTGATATTTATGCGAAATATGACACCACTGGAGATTGAAGCCAATGTAACGGCATTAAATTTGAATTTAGTTCATGTTATTGCATTGAATATATGTCCGGAAATATTGGGTAAAAGTTCGGCCCAGAAACGTTCTATACCACCACAAAAGGAATCGACTATACTCAATTATATTGCCAATTGTAATCGTTTATTGGTTTTCCTGTTACAAGGTATCATCAGTAATGGAGAACATTTTGGCAACGAATCGGTTGCAGGGGTCAATGAAATACATTCGGGATTTTTAGGAAGGCTAATAAATATGCCGGAAATAGCTAAGCTGTCATCATTGTATGGTGGGAATAAAGTAATCTCGGCACTTCGAAGTGATCATGTTAGTATCAAATTATTGGATGAAATTAAATCGAAGAGAAAACAATTGGAGTTGTTGCAATTAGAAATGGGTATACAAGGTATGTCTAATAAATATGTTATAATTTTTTATAGTTAATAAAATTTGAACTAATATAAAAATATTTAAACTTTTTTCCTTCCAGAATCTCGACCATTAAAATTGAAACGCATGGACTGCCTTATTGTAGACCTAATACGCGAGGATCCTAAAAACATTTATTTGTCTTCCAAAATCCATGACATAGCCATACGTGCCAAACTTATCTATGAGAATTTTACTAAAATCGCCACAATACGTTTAGCCAAAGAAATAATTGAGACTACACTACACCATCGATATGCCGCCAAGAGAATACCACAAGAACTACGAGAACAACTCGAAGTAACTTTAGCCGATATAACAGTATATGCTCAGGTCTCCGATGTGTTACTATTTGAATCCTGGCCTCAGGCATATGATTTTGGTTTGAGAACTCCTACGACGATTTTTGAACGCTTGTTACAATTGCGTTTATATAAACTTTGCTACAAATGGTGTAAAGTGGTTAAACTAGACCAATTTGTGCCGCAGCGTAAACAATTTCTAAACATTCTGCTTGATGCCCTATTGAATTTGGTCGACGAAGATCAAATGGATAATTTCGAATTAAACGATTATGAATACTTACTACAAATATTGGAAACATTCTTTCCACCAGATGATTGCAAAAGTTTTCTTAACTTAAACAAGGACAAATTGCGCTGTATGGTTTTGTTAAAATTTGCTATTGAATATTTGGAACGATCAGCTCCAGTGGAGGAGAAAAGTTATTTTCAAAATTATAAAATTTCAATAATGATATTTGAACAACTACCACCATGCCTACGTAAACTTTGTTGGAGCCTCCTAAAGTATCCACTGTTAATTGTCGAACAATTGATTATGAATGCTAAATTTGAGATACTAACAAAGGTTTTAACCTCCGTCCGGCAGGAGTTAACGAGAAAAGATAGTGAATACAAGAAGTTGTGTTCATTTTGTTACGACAAGAATGGTAATGTTTATAATATGCAAGTTAATGCTCCGAACACTCCACACAAAGTTCGCTTCCAGTTGGGCTCCCACGAGTCGTCAAATGTATCCGCCTTTATTTTACTCAATTTTAATCTCTATCAAAAGGATCATTTCATAACAAATGATTGTATTGATTTGCTGTTGCGGATATACGCTACAAAAGCCTTGGACTATCAAATCTCGGATACAAATTCAACATCGGAACCCTGTTCACAGAGTACATGTGATATGCAACAATCTTTGGATTCGTTATGCGGTGCCTTTCAAATGCCGTCTCAGGCCCCGACTCGTGGCGAATGGATACGCGACGAGGATGCTACACATTGTATGTGTTGTCGACGTTCCGCATTTTCTATGTTAATTCGTAGACATCATTGTCGCCGTTGTGGTCGTGTTGTATGTTACTCGTGTTCCACTCATCGTATGCGTATTCCCGAACTCTACGAAGATGTTGAGGTTCGAATTTGTAATGATTGCCAACGTTTGTGTGAGGACATCAGTCAACGTAAGGCAAATCGTGATAGTCAAATTGAAGATTCACAAAATGTTGCAGAACAGCGTGTGCGCCGCAAACCAGATGAGCGCTTCAAATGGAAGCTAAGTGGTAATATCACACATGACAAGGTATTGCGGGAGGAATTTTGTTATGAACATGCTCCCAGTGTGGCGTTATGTCTATCGATATTGGAATATCATTTGGATAAGCAGAAGTGTGTAGATTTGCTATTATTCCATTGCCGAAAATTGGAAAAGTTAATGATACCTAATCCGGAAGTTGATTATGAATTGGTGGCAAAAATGATGAATTGCTTGGCTTTGGCTGCAAAGGTATTTTATGTCTATCAGTGTCTATCTATACTTTTTTGGTTAATATGTTTGTTTCCTTCCAGGTTCGTGGAGCATCTGCTGAATTCGAAACGATTCGTGAACATTCCGAAATAATAATATCAGTGGTGCAGAATGGTTGTGAGTCTCTAATACCACCCGATCCACTTAATAATCATGGTTTACGCAAACTTGCCGACTCATTGGTGCAGGCTGAACGATGGGATTTGGCTTTGGAGGTGCATTTAAAATGTGGTCTATCTACGGCTGGAGTTATGGCAGCACATGGCCTTTCATGTATACGTGCTGGGTGTTTTGATACTGGTAAGTACCTCTCTTTTAAATACTCTTGAAATAATATGATCGTATTTTGAAAACTTTCTAAAATGCATGAATATATTAGCCCGTGAGAAATTTTATCATTGTATGCCCAAACTAACCAATGAAACAATAAATGTGGCAATAACAAAGGTTATTTTCAACCCCAACATAAATGCAAGTGCGGATAGTGTGGAAAGTATACTGGCACTAGCTAAAGATAATGACATATCTGTTATAAAACGTCCACACAATGGTCCCCCCTTGCTGCAGGAAATTTTAAAACTTATTGAATCTCTGCCCTTTAATAAACCCCAACCAGAGACTTTGCAACGGGCTTCAATTATACGCAGCTCAAATACATCATTAGCATCGTTATTGTCACGCAAAAAAGAACCCTACGTTAAGCGTATGAACGAGCCAGCATTAAATGTTCTCAATACCTTAGCCAATTTGAAACGTATAAGCAAAGGCCAATACGCAGCAGGTGGAATTAATGGAAGTGGTAGTAGCAGCACTCTAGCTTCAGGTTCACCTGCTATGCTGCGCAAAGAATTATTCCGCAAAACACGTGGTTTCGAAGAATGTCTGTATTATTTATTAACTTATGGATCTCACACTGATATTATACAATTTTTGATGAATAACAATGATTTGATGGCTACTTTGAAATATTATCTTCTCCAAAAACTTGATGCTGACATTTTTATTCAACACATTTTTATGGATTTGCTAAGAAAGGGTAAAATTGTCAATCTCATAAAAATGCTAACAGATTTTGATAGTCGTTTGGTAATATGGCAACCGACGCTGTTGCAAACTTGTCGTTATTTGGAAACACAAAATCTTTTGAATTCCCTATATGAACTACAAATATTACTCAAAGATCCCATTCGGGCATCGATGACCTGCGTGAAATTCTATACCATGGATTGTGAAAATTTCCAACAACAACTTTTGAATGCTCAACATTTACACAATGCACGAATGCATTTGCAATCGGAATTGGATAATGCCCAATGGGAGAAAATAAATTTATTACCAATGGGAAAATCGACTAGAAGTGGTAGTCGTCGATCAAGTGTATCAAGCACAACGGGCTCGCTGGGAGGTGGGGGAAATTTCTTTTTGCAAATGGATGCCAGATCATTGAATGCTCACATAAATACAATACAAAATCAATTAGAAGTTGCCAAATTTTTGGCCAAATGTGAGGTGGAAAATTGTTCAGCAGATATGTTGATAACCGAGAAGTTTTTAAAACAGGTAATTATTTTTTCAAATTATTTTTAATAAAAATAACCAATTTCCGTCTATTAGCTGCGTATTGAAACATCAAAATCGTTACCCACCTTGTTCGATAGAAATCCAGAAAAAATACAAATTTGCATTTTAATTTTGTTATGTGGTAAAAACATAGAAGAAGGGTTTGGATTAACATACCGGTAAGAGATTTCACGTACATCTCAATATTAATTGTGCATTAATACCTCTTTTCGCTTAGAATTATTCAACACTATAAATTACCGGCCTTAAAAGTGTATGCGGCCAGCGCCAAATATTTGGCACTTAATCAACGTCTTCCAGAAATTGAAAAGCTCATCAACTGTATTACCAGCAACACGGGAACTAATAATCAAGATATTGATGAAATCCTAATGGTGGCCATTAATTCGGCTGTTAATAATCATGAAACCGAAACCAAGACCATTTTAGATAGTTTAACGAAGAAGATACACAATGTGGAAATGCGTATTTCGGCACACATATATATTGGTCAATTGAAATCGGCCTATTTGTTGGCTAACAAATACGAACGTATTGGAGATATTCGCAAAATACTAAGACAAGCAGAGGCCACCAATCAAGTGCATATAAAAAAGTTGTGCGAAAAGAAACTGCAAATGACTTTGTCGGGTACAAGTCAAACGAAATAATATGTGATATATATGAAGAATATTATTTTTTTGTTTGTTCTGTTTTCTAAATATATACGTATGTACACTTATACAATATTCGTATTATTTTATGATAATAATATTTCTTGTTTTGTAATTTAAATCATATTATATAATAAATAAAAACATATTTTTATATACAAATATTTTAGTTTTTTAATTTAATTTAAATTACTTATAAACTAGTAACCGTCGGTAATGGACGTGAGATTCTTTTGGGCAATGACTGTCACCTCTGTCAATTCTACAACATCTATAGGGCTTTGACAATAAAAAAGTTCATTGAAGAAAAACTTTATTTAGGGAGAAAATTCCTTCATACTAATAAAAATAGATTTTTCGCCCATCCACTTCTTTTGGAATAATATATTGCACATACGACTTTCACCAAGAATCGAACAAAAAATAATAATAACAGCATGGGAGAAGCAAATCATGTAAACTGTTTTATTGACTGCGTACTCTCAAATCTTGTATCCATTATTTTTAATTCAGTCATAGCCTTGATTTTAACATTTTGTTTTTATTTTGAATTAATTTAAATCATAAATTACTAATAAGTTATTTACACTGTATTACATTTAAACATAACCTAAAATATTAAAAACCGCTATTTACAAATTACTAAAACAATTTAACACAAATATTCTGCCAACGTCCTCGACTTTTTACGTTTCTTCTTCATCATCTAAAATACTTTCAGCATCCATTGAATCATTACACACCGACAATTCGGATTCGGTATCTTGCCTGCTATCATCTTTTAAATCTCTAAGCTCTTCACGTTTTATATTATCACAATCTTCATCATCGGTTCCATCTACTCTAACTGTTGTTTGATCCGTATTATTATTTTCTGGTACTATTTGTGTTTGTCGAAGAAGGGCCAATCGCTGTTGGGTCATTTCTAAATGATGCTTACGCCATTTTATACGTCTATTTTGAAACCACACCTTGACTTGAGCTTCGGTTAGCTGTAGTGTGTGCGCTAAGTACAAACGTTCGGGACCGACCATGTATTGTTGTCTCTCAAATTCAGCCTCTAAACGTTCCAGTTGTTCGGGAGTAAATATAGTACGTACTCTTTTGTTTTTCAATGAGGATTTTTTCGAATTATTATCTGAAAATTAAAAAAAAGAAAATATGTTAAATTGGAACATATGAATGTAGATTATATACAAATATATAGTATGTCAAAATTATGAATATTTATAGTTCTCCAATGGTTATTGCAAGGTTTTTAATCCGAAAGACCTTCTGAAGGTTTTAGTATTTTATATTTTATCTTTTCAGTAACATTAACTTAGTAAGAATTTGCAGAGAGTAAATACGATTTTTCCCTCTCAAGAGCGAAAGGAGAAGGGTAAACAAATTTTGTACAAATTATTGTGTAAACGAGCGAATCTATTATAATATGTATTGATTATAGATATATCTTATATATAGAGGAGATATATATGGCTTTCCGTTTATATAAGTCTTACAAATAGAAATTGCTATGGAGAACCATTAGAGATCTTATTATTTACCATATATAACAAATTTACTTTATATTCAAAACCTAAATATCTATTCATTCATTTGTAACATACCAGCTTTCAATTTTTCACGTTGAAAACTCAAATTCGACTGATGTGCGGCAGCATGTTGTTGGTGTAGTTGTTGTAGGCTTTGTAATGCCGATGGTGCACCTGGTACATTGGCGGCAGCAGCTGCAGCCGCGGCTGCTGCGGCAACAAAACTATTCGCCCGAGAATGTTGCTGATGAGCCATAGCCGGTGTTGTGGCAAATGCTGTTCCTGTCACATTAACCATGGCCGAGGGCAGATAGCGATTCATTAGAGCGTTGGCTGCAGCAGCCGTTGCAACTGGAACACTATCACAGTTATTATTTACATTATTTGCCGCTGCTACAGAGGTCATAATATTGTGGCAAATATTTGATGATGACGAGGAGGAGGATGATGAGGAAATTCCTGATTTATTTAGATTTAAATTTATAATATCTCTGTGGTTATTATTATTGTTGTTGTTAAGGTTGGCATGGGTCAAATGGTGTGGATGATGATGTTGTTGCTGCTGCTGTTGGTGTATTGGTAAATGTGGTGGGGGTTCATCTGTATTTCTTTGTTCGGGGGTGGTTAGATTGTGGTGCTGTTGGCCATTTATGTCATCATGGCCATTGACGGTTTCTTCGTTGTTATTGTTGCTGCTCCTGTTACAATTTGAGCTACCACCATTTAATGAAAGGTTAATCACATTGTTGCTGTACTCTTTGCCCGAGCTCTCCATGGCACTCTTTTGTAAACCCAAAATGGCGGCTATTGTAAAGGATTTGCCAGCATCAAGGGTTGTATTTACTGTTGCCGCTGCCTCCTCTATTAACTGTTGTGTGTGTCTGTGTGTGGGGGTGTTATGTGTAGTGGAATGGCGCAGGTTGGGGTTTGTTGTTTGGCCTTCGCGTGGTGAATGTATGGGTGAGTGTAACAGCTGCTGTTGTTGGCTTGGCGAATTATGAGAGATCAAATGTTGGGCTGCTGCTGCCAGTTGTAGATGGTGGGTGTTGTGATGTTGATTCGCTAATAAGGCCGTGGCAGTTTGTTGTGGCTGATTATGGTGGTGCAAATGTGGTTGTTGTTGCTGCTGCTGCTGGTGAAGATGATGGTGGTGATGTAGGGTATGTTGCTGTTGTTGAAATTGACTGTGACTATTTGCAATAGTTGTCGCCAAGGTATGGGCATCCACCACATGATTGTGCGTTGCCTGTGAATTGTGCAGAGCCAGAAAATGGGACAAAGGATTCGGATGATATTTCTGTAGCATTCTTGTTTATAGAAATCCTGTTGCTTTTGTTAGTTCTGTGGGTGCGGTTGTGTGTGCAGCATATGTTTGGTAACTCCGTCCAGCTTTGCGCTCCTGTTGCAGCAATTGTTGTAATGTTGATGAAGTTATCCGTAGATAGAAGTATTCTGTTGGTATTTAGTCTTTTGGACTGCACGACGTGTCTGTTGTTGGCACTTTGGTGTCAGTTTTGCATTTGAGCCCAGCAGCAAAATAGCTCCATTAGTTAAGTGACAATCTTTGGTTAATAGTTTTGGGGCCAGCCAGATAGCCAGCTATTGTTGCGTTGTATTGTCGTTCGGTCAATGGTCTTAGCTATTGTTCCATGTATATATGTATGGCCATGGTGGCTGCAATCTTTCTATATAAAGTGTGGGAAATGCAAAAGAAGAAGAGAGAAGAAAAGAAAAAAGTTGGACATTAGTTGGATGGCGTTAAATACTGTTGTAGGCATTTTGTGGCTATTCGTGGCAAGTGTCATCCGATATGTAATTGTTTCGAGTGTAACAATTAACCTAAACCAGGCGGAAAAAGAAGTTAAATTTAAACTTGGTTTATGTTAGTTAACTAACGATTTTGTTTCTTTTTTCATAAAGAAAGTTTAGGGTAAAAGGGGATTAAAAAAATATATATTTGAAATACTAAAAAAAAACAAACAAAAAAATATTAATAATAAAATAAATAAATAAGAAACTCATTGTATAATTAGATCACAAAAAAATAAATTAAAATATTCACATGTCCGACATCCTCGTAGGGCGACTATATATGTATACATACGAAAAGTACTGTATTTATTATTTTTTTAATATATCTTTTAACGGAAAACCAGACTGTACATTAGAATTGCATTTCCGTTTGTAATACATATGCCACACATAAAAATCCCTTTCCCATTTTAGGTATGGTGAATGGAATGTTGAAGGACCTAGCTGAATTTCCCAACCTAAGTTTTACATTTGTTTTTTTTTTCTTTTTCAGGTGATCAAAACACTTGTGACAGCTATTTATCATGGCCGCATTTAAAGGTACTAACCGATTATACATATTAGGTGTCTACTTCATCGCGAGGGGTATAAAAATCGGGTCGACCTTTATGACGTCTTTACTAGTATTTTGTGAAGTATGACATTTGCAAAATAAATTCAATTAGGGCAATTCCGGATAATTCAACCTCGAACTTCATGAAGTTCTTGTTCCACCTTATTATTTAAACCACAAATAGGAATGCTGAAACATTAGACGTAACATGTGATTCAATTGCACCATGTGGTTGTATGTCTGACTAAATTACACTCTCCACATCTTCATCACATTTCTTTTCGTCCCAGAGTGCAAATGCCTTTTAAAGTACTTGAAGATTTGCTGTGTTGCCGTTGCATGGATAGTTTATAAATGTGAGTAGTAAGTGCCGGCATATACCCTGCCACATATATATGTATGAACGTATGTATTGTACCACAATACGTAACTACTCCCGTAGTCGTTGCAATTGAATCACATTGTCATCACATGGTAAAGTGTGCATCTTAGGAAAATATATATTGAATTAACTAAATGAAGATGTGAATGTGACATTTACTATGATAACGATGTGATAACATATATTTAGTTTATGTACATTAGGGTGTATATGAGACATAAGGATGAATCTTAACAAAAATGTTTTATGTACAAAAATCAAAGTTTAAATATTTGTATTTTTTATAAATAAAAAAATCGTATGATTCGAACATCGTATTATTCAAACATTTTTTAAGTTTTTTACCTCCTTTTAAATACAATATTCTTGATTATGTAGTAACTTTTATCACTTTCCATTTTAAAATAATCTTCTATTAATTAACGAAATTTAGTACCTCTTACACATTAATATTAGTGTTAAAGGATATTCGCTCACATGATTTGTCCAGTAGGTTCTAATGTCGTCATATTACGAATTAACTTTATCAAAATGAAAATGCACTGCCATGATTATGTTGCTTTCCAAACATTCAAGTGAACTTCATATAAAATAGAGTAAATGCGACAACGAAATGAAGCTATCACATGACAATTATTCACCTCACATAAAGTATGTTGTTGGCTATTCTATGAAGTGCTAATATGCTGAGGATGTTGTCATTCAAGAAGACTACAAATGCAGTGGACCTAAACTTGCAGGGGCAACAACGACGATAACAGTGACACATAATTACGGAAGTTGCGTGTATTTAAATGTCACATCTTTACAAGCGTTTCAAATGTTCGGAGTATTCAGTCATGTCACATTTAAATTAAATATCACTATGTATGTTTACATGTGATTTGATATCTAATAGAGTAAATGAGATACATTAATTTCCGGTCTTTATTTAACATAACTAGTAAAAGGAAATGTATATCTAATAAACTCAAAAGGAAAAAAAAAATCAGGGAAAAAGAAATCCATTATTTTTCGGCAGATAACTGTACTGATAAATTTCGCGTAAAGTATAGATCAAACAATTACAGATTTATGCTCGTTGGATGGGTGAAAATCGACTACTACAGTTTTTTGCAAATAGCAGGAGTAGGACTTCCATGAGAGAGGCATTATGAAGTTACATTTAAAATGACAACAAATCATATAATAAAACGGTGCATATTTGGCCCAAATGGGACATTGTTAAATAAAGTCCTATATTTCATATAAAAATAATGGATCTCTTTTTCTTCACAGGTTCATAGGATATCCCTAGCAATAACCAAAAATTCAACTAAAGAAGAAGTAATATATCTATGTATTGAAAATCGCCCCAATTTTGGGAATACGTAGGACTAGGGGATCGGGACTCAGTGTTTCGTTTTTTATTTATCGTAAATAATGGGTAATGGTTTCATTAGGCAAATTTGAGCTTTGATATTCGTGTCACAGATATCAATTCGTCAATCGTTTGAGTTTTTGAGACGCTCCAAAAATGCTCTAAAACATACCAACCAAGATTCCGGAATACCAAACTACATAATTCGCCTAGGACTATCAAAATACCTAAATTGGGGAACCGTGAAAAGATATACCTGCTTTAATAAATATATTTTTATGGGTGTGCACTAGGGCGAACCAAATTTTTTGTCGATTAAATCTAGCCTCTAGGATGATTCTATGGGCAATTCAAAGTAACTTTGGTGAGGGAACCATAGGTCTATACCGATTTTCGAGTCTCCCACTTTTCAAAAAAAAAATTTTTTTCCTATAACATCATTTTGACTCAAAAATCGATTTTTTATTCACCGTTATATAATCTTTGTATATGGGGGGTTCATGGGTTCGAGAGGGCGTTTCATACATATTTTAACTATTTTTCGTGTATTTTTCTGAGAAAAATTACAAGTTTTTATGTAAAATGGGTCAAAAATCGAATTTTGATGTTATAGGAAAAAGTCATTTTATATTTATAAGAGAGTTTTTTAACTTACTAAGAACCCGTAATTCCAAATTACAATCTCTTCACTCATCTGTATGAATGAATCGACATTTTCTTCTCAGCAATCTTACGAATATTTCGAGATGTTGCAAACAGAATGTCAAATTCAATATTCATATTACAATTAAAAGTTAAACAAATATACTGCAGATTAACCATAGCAAATAAATTGAATAGGAATAGGAAATGTTGATAACGGAATTTTGTTGGGAAAGAAATCCATTATCGGTTACAAAATATCATTATTTTTTTATTTATTTAATATGAACCTACATCTTCTCAAGAATGCCTCATTAAACTTTCAAGTGAAATCTCAAAACTCTTGAAGATATAGCCGATTTATTGTGTTAGCATCAAACGACGGCAACAGTGTTTCTCAAACTTTAAACGCGTTTTTGTTGCAATAGTATTTTTACAATTGGGCGGGCATAATAAATCAAAAACTAGCAATCCAATCGGTTTCAAATTTTAGCACGTTATTCTGGACATACTTAGAAATCGTATGAACTATGTTCCAGTGATCGGCCAATCATGCCCGTCATCGAAAAAAAAACTAACATCAACATGACAATATTTTGTCACTTTATTTTCTTCTTCTTTCAGTCTTCAGATACATGTATGTACAGTTGCAAGTCTTCAACATAATCTTTAATGTACTAAAAATGATCAATAATTGGTAAACTTTATAGGGTAGCCCCCATATTACAGTACCTCCCATAATTCAGTATTTAGGACAGCTGAAGCGCTTTTTACATACGAATTGGCTCTAATTTGATATTTTTGTTCTCATTGGGTAGAAAATATACCTAACAAAAATGATCAATTATTTGGTATTTTGGGATTCTCATGGGTGTCAAGTCGTCCTACTTCAAAATATTAATACCGGTCCATGTTTTGAAAAATCTCCTATATAAAGGTGCCAACCCAATTCCAGTATATGGAAGATTTTAATTACATTCCCGACCAAAGTAACTGTAATTTAGAATTGTGGGGCTATGGAGGCTGACATATACACACTGGTGGCCAAAACCAAAGCAACTAAAATTGCTAACAGTATAAATGTCCTGTAATTTATAAAAACTTATGGTGAAAGTTTTTCAGAAATAAATAGGTAATTTATTCACATTTAAATAACAAAAAACATAAACGCAAACTTTATTTTGAAATAAAAAACTTCTTTTGTGGAAAACTAAATTCTTCCAATTTTGCTTGGTCAAAACTATAGCAACTTTTTGATTTTTTTCTTTGAAATAAGTAAATTTTTCTAGTAATCGACAACATAATCATCCCTTTTGATTTTGATATCTATGATATTACAAAAAATGTTCTTTAGGGAGACGACCTGATGATTGTGTTGGCCATTATAAAACCCCTGTTATTTGAGGTTATATCCAACGTGGTTATCGTTGGATATAACCTCAATTCCCTCGAAGCCTTGAATGGGTTGTTTTTACTGCTATGGCAATGTGTTAATCAGTAAGAACGGATGTTATTTTGCAGCCTTCCTCCGTTATGAACGTTCACTGCCGATTTAGTTGCATAAAACCGACATATA